TATATGCAATAAAAAATCACAAATACAAAATTAACATAAGGTATTCAAAATTAACATTAGAAAATTAGTATTTTTCAGTTATATTAGCATTATAGCATACATACCTAATTGACATTCCGTCTTTTTACATTTAACTAAGTATTTTAATGGCTAAGAATATACAATTATGTTTTTGTTTTGTAATATTTCCCCCTATTGTATTATTAATTCTTGTTGGCTAACCTCCACCAAACTTTTTATTTTTCTTACCACTTTTTGTTCTGTATCATTGTCCGTTGAGATGCTTATACAAGGCTGTATCTAAAAAAATATATATATTAATATCTAATTTTACAGAAAAACAATTTGATYATTTAAATATTTTTATATGTAATTATTATTACGATAATAATAGTTACCAATAATAATGCCATGAATTGTTTGATCCATAAAAGCAAATTTGTTTGAATTTTTCCCCTCATAATTATATAATGARCCACATTGRACAGTAAACAATAATCTAAGCATTTAAGCAGTAGTATCTTCAAATTGTGAAACAACCTCATTGCTTGAGCTGTTCAATAAAATAAAAAAAATCAACAATTATAATTATATTGTTAATTCATCAAATGTTAAACTCATATAAAAAATTATTTAAACATTGCATACAATTAAATGTCTTGATGCAGCTCATTTTAAAGGTTCATCTAAATGTTGAATGTCATTTAAAGTGACAGCAGGCAAATAAGCAAAAGTATTAGTAAAATGTTCTCGGTTGAAATTGTAAGATACCGTAGCATCATTTTCTGATCTGGTCAATAACAATTTATTGAGCAAATCATTGGTTTTCTAATGTTCTTGTAACTGTAATATCATCAGTTGTTTTAATACTGATCTATATTTTATGAATAAATTTATTATTTATAAAGCAATACTTAAAAATAATTAATAAATTTTTTTGTTAATTACCTTATAAATTTTTTAATTCATCGCGGTTATTTGACAGAATTTTAAATTATGGGAAATTTGATAGTGAGGCAAATAATGGAGGTGAAAACTGATCATCTATAAAAAAATTACTTTAAAAAAATTTGAATTGATAATTGTTAAATATGGAATATTAAAATATACCTACAGATTGTATTGATTTTGAAGTGTGAGCTTTTGGAACATCAAAACTAGGCAACTCTGAATCCCTTAAATAGTGGCTAGTAAATCCTTCCTGTGCCACTTCAATGGTTTCCTGAAGGTGAATATTGCATAGATAGATTATTGATATTTTCTCGCTTTTCAATTTGCGTGCTCTTGCTCTCATGAATATCTTTATAACAATAACGCCATAAATAGCTAAAAATACCAATAACAATAATTAATTAGGTATACATAAATTATTATGTATAAGATATTTACTCATGTATAARGATTTTGCACCAGATGGAGAATTTGGCATATTATCAAATAAAGGAAACTCTAAATCCTTAAATCATAAAGCTTCTTTCATGTCTGAAGATTAATGAATCCAGTTGCCATTACTACTCTAAATGTCTGAAATAGATATTTCTTTCCACTTCCCAATTCATATCACATGTCCTGGTCCTGTGTACTATAAACATTGGCTATTACTTCAGCAGTTATAACCTATAAAATGAAGAAAAAAAACGCAATAACCATAGATAATTTTACAATTAAAAACCAATTTAAAAGAACAATACATGAATATCAATTATATTAAACCAAAAGAAGCATCATTGATTTTAAATACTTGAAAATTACAAAAAAAAAATATCTTTAAAGCGCCCTTCCTCCTTTTTCATACGGACTGAGGACCGTCAATGGTGGAGTTAACGCTAAGATATACAAAGGTGGGTATGTTCAAGATAAGTTAGGTGAGCACAAGATTGTTATAAGCAAAAGTTAATAGTTTATAAATTTAACTAGTTACGCTCTGAAGTTAATTAAAAAAATTAACTTTTTACCTTATTTAAACATTTTAACTAGTTGTTAATGCCCACTCTTAAATATATGACTTAGTTACTTACATAATTGTATGTTAAAAAATAGATCCCATTTTACTAAACAATAATTTATAATTTATACAACCATTCATAACTTACAATGTATTAGTTTGTTTATGTGTATTTCTTATTAGTTTTTATTTTCTATTCAAAATAGATAATTAATTATTAATATACCTACTTATTGCATAAGACACAAGTGAAGTTTTCATTTTTCAATTCTTTAGTCATCAATTTGTAACGTACACTCCCTACACATACATTATGAACTTTTCGCTGACATTTATTACATTTCATCCAAGTAAAATTTACTTTCCTATTTTCTGCACACATAATGCATCTTTCACTGATGTTTTCAGAGTATATCAAACATCGATGCCGCGGCCGCAATGTATTTCTTAAATTTCTCACATTAACTTCCTTTGAAAAGCTCTGCGTAAACATTGGACTATATACATACTGT